ACTGTTAACAGCTGACAATTCAAACCTTAAACTGCTTTTAAGGTGTTTACGCAAAGATTAAAAGTGACATTTCTTACTAAAAGTGATGTTAAACTACATTTAGTAAGCTAAAAGTGCTTTTAAGCAAAATTCAATTTAGGGTGTTTACGCGATCTTAAAATCGATTTTAAGAGCCTTAAAACAACTTTTAAGGCTCGCGTAAACGTAGTGAGTGTAGTGATGTGTCGATACGTGTTGATAAATGGCTAAATGTGTGCAGTGCAAAAATCCCAAAAAAATTCCCATTTGGTTTAGCATCAACCACTCGCACACGTCCTAAGTATGCAGTTGTCATTATAACAATATTTAAAGAATAAAGAAATTTGCCTAATAAAATATATTTTAAAAATAAAAGTTGTTATATTTATAGCATTTTTCCTTTTTGTCATATATATATATATAAATCACTTGTACAACTATTAACTAATTATTAACTAACTATTAACTATTTAACTATTATTTTTGGAGTATTTTTAACGTAACATTTTTAACATAATAGAAAAAACATTGCAAGTCTTTTTATAAGATTTGATTTTTACTATGACTTTTTTGTAGAAATGCAACCTTGGACTAATTTCAGTCTCGCATTTGTTGATATCATATTTTGGGGGTGTACGTATCAGTATTCGCAATTTTTAATAACTTATGACTTATTGTGTTATATATACAATATATACAAAATATATATAATAATAAAATTAGTGAGTTACTAATATACAAAGAAAAGGCTCTTGTTAAGTTTATATATATATATGCGAGTTAAAACACTAGCAAAATATCTATGTTTAATTTAAAAGTAAAGTAACATAGTACTGAAATTAACAATGAAACCAAAAGTGGACGAAGTATTGCTTGTCGATGATACAAGTTCCGATGAAGAGCAAGAGGCAGCAAAAAACAATATTAAAGTTCAAACTGAGACCGACGAAGAATTGCTATGTACAGATAGAAAAATTAACAAAGATGTCAACACTTTAGCGTGTATAAATAGTGAATCAGATACAGAAGATGAGGTCAAACTTTCTAAAAGTAATAAGAAGGATGTAGACACTTTAGTACACATAGATACTAGTGACAGTGAATCAGATTCGTATCATAATTTGGACAAAGAAAAGGTAACACAGCTTTGCATTTATTACCAAACCAAGAACTTTTCATTAGCAATGTATTTTCTTTCCAGCCATCAACATCAGGGGTTAGACGACGCCATTTACCTTGTGATAGTAGCAATTCTATGCATTTAGAGGACCACAGTCCAAGCTTCCATGTAAGATCTCGCACTACAGCCATAGAGAATGTCCAAAGAAATTCGAATAGCATATATGAAGTATATCCAGTGTAAATAATATATACGAAACATAAACCAGCTTAAATTTTTCTTTTACAGAGTTTAGATTATGAAGTATGTGAAAATAAACTTTACCGAAATGCTCAAAGAAAATCTCAAACTAGACGTTTTCATCTTCAGAGAGATATTTTACGTTGGATTATTTTTATAAAAATTGGTGTAATAACTGCATTAGTAGCTTGTGTTATTGACATTATAATTGAAGCATTATCAACACGAAAATACGAACTCCTCAAAAAATGTAAGTAACGCTTTGAGTGTTAATATGTTTAGTAAATAAATAATAATAAATAGATTAATAAAAGTTCAATAAGAAAAAGTGAGTCAACATCCAGTAGTTGTTTTTATACATATTTGTATAAAAGAATAGCAAAATTGAATATAAAGCAAATTTGCATTTTAAGCAAATTCATGTGTTTTCAAACAGATAATCTATTTCATCTCTAAGTTCGAATACACGTATACTTTTCTCTAAAGTGCTAGTACTCATGTAGTAAGTAGAGTATATGTAAATAAATAAAAAAAACAATACGCATTTTGACTGCGTACCAAGCTATTACCATGTCATTTTTCAATAATAAGTATTTTCGGAAATGCAATTTTTGTCTTCGTGTGTTATAACCAAAGAGCAATCAAGTAACTTTTTATATGCCAGTGGGATCCTAAAAGAACTCTTTCGCAGTCAATCTGTTATTTTTAATTACTAAATAATTACTGATCGGTAACTCAATTACTTATTTCTTATTTATACGACATTTATTTAATGAACATAATTATAATTATCTTTAATTTTCTTAATTATTTTATTTTTAGCCGTTGATGCAAATGTACCTATTTCCACTGGTATGGGTGGGGATTTAGTTATACCATACCTTTTATGGATGACTGTTAGTGTGATACCTGTTGCACTGGGCGCTACTTTGGTAACATATATAGAGCCTATAACAGCTGGTAGTGGTATACCACAGGTAAAAGCATATTTAAATGGCGTCAAAATACCAAGAATTGTTCGGATCAAAACACTAGCCGTAAAAGCCATTGGTGTAATCACATCTGTTGTCGGTGGCTTAGCTGGCGGAAAGGTATGTGTATAAATTATGAATTAAAGTAAAGTTTTTTTAACTAATATTCATTTATAGGAAGGACCAATGATACATGCAGGTGCTGTTGTAGCTGCTGGTATATCGCAAGGAAAAAGTACAAGTTTTAATATTGATAGCGGCATATATCAAGCTTTCCGTAATGACCATGAGAAACGTGATTTTGTTCTAGGAGGTAGCGCAGCTGGTGTAGCTGCTGCCTTCGGCTCTCCTATAGGTGGAATGTTATTTTCACTTGAAGAAGCCGCTAGTTTCTGGAATCAAAATTTGATTTGGCGTACTTTGATTGCATCGATTATTAGTTCATTTACTTTAAATATTGTTTTATCGGCTTATCATGGATTAAATAACTTCACTTTTACTGGATTATTTAACTTAGGTCAATTCGATCAACCGCTGACTTTTGAATATTTCGAATTACCTATATTTTTATTATTGGGTGTATCTTGCGGTCTATTGGGCGCTATTTGGAATTCAATAAATACAAAAATCAATCGTTTTCGAAGTCGCTTTATTAAATTTAAGTTTGCTAAAGTTGTAGAAGCAGCATTTGTTGCATTAATGGGAGTAACATTAGCATGCACATCGATTTATTTTATAAACGATTGCCGACAATTAGGAAATGATCCTACTGACTATCCTGTGCAGGTATAAAAAAAGATATAATTATAAAATTTAAAATGTGCGTAAAAAATGTTTATATATTACTTTTATATCAGTTGTTTTGTGATGACAATGAGTATAATGCAGTGGCTGCACTTTGGTTTCAAACGCCGGAAGCAACTGTCAGAGCACTTTTCCATGATCCTCCAGGTAATAGCAAAATGAAATCAATTATAAATATATTTTCTGATAATTGACATATTCCAGGCTCACATAAAATACTGACATTAACTATTTTTACAATCATATATTATTTCCTATCTTGCTTTACTTTCGGCTTAAATGTTTCATTGGGAGTATTCATACCAACTGCACTTGTAGGTGCTGCATGGGGAAGACTTGTTGCAGCTATATTTTACTATCTCTTCCCACAAGCTGTAAATGAATTAACTAAAATAAATCAATTACTTTTTAATTACAACAATACATATTTTTAGCACTTTTTAAATCCCGGAAAGTATGCGTTAATCGGAGCTGCAGCAAATTTGGGTGGCGTACTTCGTATGACAATAAGTCTTTCCGTTATTTTAATGGAAACAACTGGAGTTGAAACTTCATTCTTTTTCCCGCTCATTTTAACGCTCATAAGCGCTAAATGGGTAGGCGACTATTTTAATGATGTGGGTGCATATTAATTTTATATTTGAAGCCAGACTCTTATTTATTTAGTGTATATGAATCATTATAGGGCCTTTATGATATACAAGTAAAAATCAATAATGTCCCGATGTTGCCATGGGAACCACAACCCAAATATATGGGTTTAAAAGCAGCGCAAATTATGAGCTCACCAGTGATCTGCTTTCGCTTACGCGAGAATGCCAAATATGTTTTTGATGTTTTAAAGAAGTGCAATCATAATGGATTTCCAATTGTGGAAGATGTGAATGAAAGAGTAATAAAATTTAATTACATTTATATTATTTATTTGAGTTTCATTTATTATTTTTGCTTTCAGGAACGTACACGT